AAAGGATAAAGAGAAAACTGTGAGGTTTAATGAAACGTACCTCAATTATGGAAACAGCTATTTCTCTGAACATGGCCACTTTAAAGCACCACATAAAGGTGTCTACCTGTTTGTCATCTCTGTGGAGTTCAGCTCAGGACCAGCACTGGGACAACTCTCCTTCAGCCGTGGGTACAAAAGAACTCTCTCAAGCAGTCAGAGAAAAACCCCACATGGAAACACCATGACTACTTTTGCTATAGCAGAAATGGAGAAGGGGGAGACAGTGTGCTTTGAATTGCTGCACGGCTCTGTAGTGAAGAGAAGCCCACCTGGTACAACTATGGGTGGATTCCTAATATCTAAAACTTGAGTAGTGACATTTCTGTTTTATTAATCTCCTTCCATAGAAGCAATGGATGCATTCACTATTGCTTCATCTGTGATGTATTCAAAGCTACTGCATGTGTTTAAACATAGCACTACCCTAGGTTTGTCTTCATGCTTCTTTTCTGGAAGTGTTTGGCTTTTGATTAGTTGCTTATGAGCAGCAATGGGATTTTCTTTCAAGTGAAAAGCTAATGGTTTGGACTCCAGATGTACCAGCACACACATCCCCAAATCCTTCCAATGGGAGAACTGCACATAAATGTTTTGTGTGACTTTCTTCACTTCCAACACACATTTTGCCTTTCCCTTGGCAAAAGAATATCTTCTCATGACAAATACCCCCAGTGAGTGGCAAGGAAAAGATTTTAGGTAGGACTACACACTCTCATGTTACGTGGATGGTACCTTAAAACCCAGAAGCCAGGGCAATTTTACCTTTTAGTTCTCTGTGGACCACAGGCTATCTTGGAAACTTCTGCAACTCACTTCAATGTTTCAGTCTGTGCACAACAGGAACACTAGAAGAGATCCATCAAACCCAGTAAAATTCACTCTATTGCCAGTATTTGCAAGCAAGGATCTCCTAAATGGTCCAGTCTTTTGTTTCTTGGCCTGTGATGTATTTCAGCTACACTGCAAAAATTTAAAGCATTGTTAAGATGATTTACAGTTACAATTAGACACTAGGAAAATGTCAACAATATTTTAGAAATATTGGTGAAAATGCAGTTTATTTCTAAAGATAATCCTGAAGATTATCATGAATTCAGCCCAGAGTTCAGTATTCAGTAAATATTTTAAAACCAAGCAAGCAAAATCAAAATCAAAATGCAAGCTCATTGGTCTGTTGTCACTGCTGAATATAAATTTGTAATTAGTGTAAATCAAAGAGTAGAACTTCTGAAATGTAGAGGGCTTTTTATTTCCAAAATTTCAAAGTGACCATGCCTGGTCATGTCTTAAACTTTTCTCTTGTCAAATAAAACTTCCCAAAGACTTTCACTTTAAAGAAGTTCAAGTATTGTGGTATTTTTATCTATCCTAATACCTTACATAGCAACATTAAAACAATTAAATTTGCCAAATTTAAATGCACTTTGAAATTTTCAGTATTTTTGATGAACATATAAATTATTATGAAAATTGAACCCTTTTAAGGTAGCATTTTTAAACAAATCTATTCTGCTGTTAAGAATTTTCTCCCACCTACCTGTATTCTAAGCAATACTAACCTATCATTAATTGTTAAAACCCCCCAACACATCGGTACCAACACACAATGCACTTAAAGCAACAGTCTGACAAGCAGACAATACCTATCTTTTGAAATAAAGCTACAAAGCAATTTCAGCTGACTTGCTGAGAAGATTGTTTTCTCTATCCTGAAAAGCTCAAGAAAACTAACAACAAAAAATGCACCTCATCTCCTCCTGGCCAATGCTGATTTCCACAGGAGATGCCCAGGCCAGGTGCTCCCGTTTTTCTAGCACAGAGCCATGGCTCACACTCCTCTGCTGCAGGCAGCACACAGTGCCTGCAAACTCAGGGTCATTTTCTGTCCCACTTTTGCTCATAGTATCTAAGGGAAGAAAGAGAAGAATAAAATTGAAGAGGTGAAATGAAGAAAACCATCAAATTGTAAGATTATGTTCTCTACCATCCTGGGGTGACTCGAATGGGTTTTTCCCAGTGTTCCTCCAACTCCTGACTTTTGTGGTGGCAGCATTCTGCAGAGCCAGGCCAAGTGTGCTGCCTGTGTCAGGGTGGTTCAAGGAACACCTCATCTTCAGTGCACACCAATTCTGCACCTATCAATCAAGTTCCACAAATAAGTACCACTGGGGAATATGTGTATGTTACATATGGGGGATACGATACATGTATGTATTTCAGAACACTTTGTTTTTAAAGCTTTGACAGAAACCTTCAACTGGAACAAAAACCACTTGGAAATGAACACAGGAGGTAGTAGAGAGCACCACAGTTCATCCAGTCAGGTTTTGTGTCCTTCCTTGTGCTCCAGAGTACTTTTGTTGAAGAATATGCCAGATTAGTTCAGAGAACACTGGTTCCAGAGTGAATAAAATGTTAAAGATGTTTTTGTATTCTAAAGATGTCTTCAAATATGTGCTCAAGTTTGCCACCTGCATATACAAAGAAGACATACTTGACTGGAAGACTAATTTTTATGGAGCAAAAAATTAATCAAAGACAATGGGATAAATCACTCTGCTGGCTGCATAAGCCAGGAAGACTGATTTCCTTCTCAAGCAACAAGAGAACAATGATTCATCTACTGGGCTGTGGTTTTGTTTGTTCAAAGCAATAAACCAGCTTTATAATAAGCCTCCATGTAAACCACTCCTGCATTTTTTTGGTGGGATGGTTGTTTGGGCTTTTTTATTAGATCAACATAGCCACACCACTATGCCACAAAGCCACACCACTATGACCCGTATTTTTAGGCAAACTAGAGAAATAAATTTAATGAAGGTAATTTAAAATACAGCTATTGGTTGGCTCAGTGGATTTAGGAGAATTTCCAAACATGAAAAAAAACCTGAAGCTGACCATAGGCACTGGAAGAGTTGTCTATAAGAGCTTCAGCTTCCCTCACAGCAGACTGACTAGACTAATGTGCCTGATGGCCAGGCAGCAACAGGCACAGAAACGTGTGCTCACTCCAGGATACAGATATATGTAATGTCAATCTGACACTCATGTTTAAACACAAAGCTCTGCATCTTACTGACTTCATGGAATTATTTTGTTACTGATCTGCTGCTTTATGAATGTCAGTATCTTATAGTACATTTTAAAACTAAAGTCTCCTAATGTTTTTTTTCTTTTCCATTAATAAAACAATCTCTTTACTGTACTCCAAATTCAAGTACTGCTCGTACTGTATATAAACAATTTTACTTTCTATAGATCCAGCAATGCCTGAATTCTTCAGATAATATTCACATCAAGCCAGAGTCTGAAGCCCAAGGAGCTCTCCTCGTGAAGCACTCAGGAAGTGGTCAGCCCAACAGCAGTGGTCCTTTCCCAGCTCCAATTCACAGCTGATACTGACCTAGTGCACTACCATCACTGAGAAAGACCAAAGTGGAGTTCTGGGGAAAGGTGAAGATAAAACTGCAGAAGGAATTAAGGAAATTAATAGAATTAAATCTGACCCTTTCTGAATTTAGTGATACTTCTGCTATTTATTTAAAAGCTTGTGATTCATTTTGCTAACTACTCAGTTTGCTTTTTGGTGTGCCCACCAAACATCAATTTGTGCTGTTTACACATTTCACTGGATAAAGCTGTTGCACCTCTTAGGTACTGATGCAAGCTGATCAGAAACATATTCTATAGAGTGCTCAAACTCGCCCATTTATAAGGGAGAGCATTTTGGTATTCATTACTAGCAGGCAGCAGAACTTATTTTCACGCAAAACTCCCCAATTTTTTTCCCCCAAATTCTTTCTTTAGGACACAGCGCCACCCTGTGGCCATTGCAACGCTAACATGAAATCCCAGTTTTAAATCCAACCACGACCACTGCAACCACTGAAGACATTCCATTTCAAAATAGCCACAACCATAGGAAAAAGGTTTACTTTGCCAAGATACTACTTTAAGGAGAACAAATCTTTATGCAGTCTAATTTCCTGGTATTATGTGTTACAGACAGAAAGGTTTGAAAGTACATTGTTGATCTTTCCATTGCACTTTCCAGAACTACACTGCAAGAATTTAACACTTGACTGTATAGGAAAAACAAATCAGGGCTTATAATTATAATATATTTGTAACAGTTTTTATGGTATTCAGCTATCAAACCTTTCTAGCTACTGTAAAAATATGTATTTAAATCTAAACTTATTCCTGATTAAATGCAAAAAGAGAACAGAAACTGATCTTACTTCTTTCTCCTTGTAAACTAAGGGTGAACTCTATGGAGAGTAGAAGCCAATATGTTTCTGCAATGAGAAAATTCTGACACTCTCTTCATAGTACTCACAGGTGAGATAGCCCCTTGACTGGTGTCAATTTGCTTGAATCACAAAAAACAGACTAAATTTAGCAGGAATACAGAAGCACCTGCATATTTTTGCAACAAGCAGTATATACACATATTAAACTCAAATCTCTTAACTTGGACATTATTACACAAAAAGCATGTTGTACACAGAGGGAACAAAAAGCAACTACAAAATTCCCCATCCCTTTATTTTTCCTCTTTTTACCTGGTAAGCTTGAGGCAAATTCATACGGATAAAACCAACATGTAGTGAACTTGCATATGTTCAAATAAAAGTATCATTTGATTTTAACTTACTTTTGGCCTTGCTGTAACACAGGGATAAAAACCAGGAGAAGGAAACACTGTTTTTTACTCTTGCACACAAATTTAAATTTCGTGCAAAGAATAAAGAGCTTAAACTTAGAAAGCACCAAATAATTTTCAGTATCATTGAACAATAAAAGCAGTAATTAACAACTTATTCAGAGACTGTGGGGGGAAAAAACATAAACAAGGTATGAAAAAGTAGGGAGTTATTTAGTTACAGTATTAGGATTTCCAAGTCATTACTTTTTTAAGGCAAAATCTTATAGTAACAAAACACATCACTAATGTGTACTAAAATAAGGTTATTTACTTAAAAATGATACATTGGACATAATCTGTGTACAGAACAAGCAATTCATGGTAAACTCAATAAGGCACCTTCTAAAGCAGATGCTGTACAAAATACATTGGTGTGTTACATTTTTAAAGTAGTATTCTACACTTCTGGCATATAACACACACAAGAGTGTGACCATTTCTCTTGTTCCACTCTTCTTTCATATTTTATTTACATCTTCTCTAGGTTAACTACAATGTTATTTATTCTTCTTGTATACAATATAGTACATTTCATTTTGGGCATGTCATGTCAGAGCACAAATGTCACTACATGATGTGGGCTTCTATAATTGCATTAAACAGTAAAATATCACAAAGCAACAATTACATTAGATTTGCTGAAAACCCAGAAGTAATGTGCCCTCTACTTCTGCTGTACAACCAGGGCAGAGCACCATGGTTCCATAAGGACTGTACTGTGCAACACTGCCAGCTGCTTTTAGATATCACCCCTGCTTGGAATAAAGACTGTGGGCACAGGATAAAGACTTAACTCAGAGGCACTGTCTGGAGAGGGAGCAAAGGCTAAATAATTCTAATATTTCACAGAAGATTAGCATGTAACTTCCCTTTAAAAATATCTGCAATAGCAAAAGAATGTTTATTAACTTTATATCTCTGCTCTTCAAACACTTTAAAACCATTAAAATACAGTCTGTTAAGAGAAGATGAAATGTATCCAAATGATTTGTTTTATAAACACATTCAAATGGTCATTTAGATCAACATCTAAAATTTGATTCTAGACTACTTTAAGGTAACTTAAAATATTAGACCTCTAAAAAGGCTGATTAAGAAAATAATTCTGAAGTGATGGGTATTGGGAAAACCGCTTCTTGAGGAAAAATTACATTAAGTAAAATTCAGAATAAACTCCAAATGTAAGCCTAATTTTCTCTGTAGGAATACCACATTTCTGGTGGAATTTACAAGTTAACCAGGAACACAAAAATTTTCCTTTTAGTTGCTGTAACAATAAGAATGAAGTGACTTCAATTATTTCCATCTAATATCATGTGGAACAGGTTCAATAAACACAAGAATCCCTCCATATGAGTGTTTAAGACCTTCAAAGGCACAGTCTTGATACTCCCAAAGGTATTTTTCACACAGCTTATTTTTGTATTAAAAAAGAAAAACCAGATTTGTCAGTTTTGGAATATATTTTTTTTGAATGACAAATGCTTAAAATTTTGACTACCAAAAAAGAGATTAATCATAGTCCAATAGAACAATCTTGTTACTCTCTCTGACCTTAAAGGCTTCTGAACTGTACAGGACTGCATGAAGCAACAACTTACCTTTGGAGTATGCTTAGTTAAGTAAAAATTAATGGGCTGGCTTAAGAGCATTTTTCTTCCCCCAAATGATTAAGTATCAGTATAGATATCCTTTAGCATTAATGTTTTGTTGAATATCCGAATCAAAGAAGCTGCTGTTCAGCACAGCAAGAACTACACATGCACGATACATCCGAGTATGAACAGAGTAAGTGAAGTGCTGACAAATTAGGTTTAAGGCAAACAAGATTTTTTCCCCTCTCAAAAAATCATCTTTGTAGCAGTTTGCTCCCTCCATGTTAAAATAAACTCGTAAATCAATTTAGGTCCTAAGGCGTCTAACCATCCTATTGCTGCCTTGCAAACACTGAAACACTGGAAAAGAAAATAAGTGAAAATTTACAAATTATTGAAATTTATACTTCCAGAAGGGGCTTCCCAAAGAGCTGGGAAAAATAAACTAAAACCAAAAAAATTCACAAAACATGTTTAAAGCAAATGATGATGTGGCAAACTCTAAAAGAAATGACACAATATTCTACATAGGACAGGGTTCATTTAGACAGATCTCCATGCTCTGAAAGTTTAAGCTAGCAGGGTACCTACATAAACATTTTTTCCTTCTTATTGATAAAAATTCTAGAGAAGGAAAAAAAAAGCTTATCCCTTACATTTTTTGGCTTATACCAAAAATTTTCCAACTACCTGTGCAAAAATTATGTGCGAAGACATGATTAACAATTTCAAAATCATCTTATATTTCTTGGCAATGGACGGAGAAACTTTTTTTTTTAAAGCCCTTTATCATGAGGATTGTGGCACAATGTCATAAATCTCTTGCTGTTTTCAAATAAGTTAAAGTTGACATACCTATGAACTTCTCAGCCAGAATACATATTAATACTTAAAGGCATTACTAAACAAAAGTAATGACTTTATTTAAAAAAAAAAGTCCCTTGAAATAGCTAGTTTTCTATAAAATATGTAGAACTGTTAAATAAAGTCTGTACATCACAATAGAAAATAAAAATACTGCAATCTTTTGCCTGACCATTTACATTATGCGAACTACAAGATTAAAACAAAAAGGTAACATGCTAAAAGGCTGTAATTGTTCACAAATCACATTACTTCTGTGTTACATTGCTTTGCATCAGTTGTATTTTCAAGGGAAATTTAAACATATCAAAACAATTTCTATGTAAATATTTTAAGACAACAAATAATCCAGCATAAATCAATCTGAAGTTTTAACAATTTCATCAATTCTGGTATTATTCTTAACTTTTTTCTTCAAATCTCAACTATGGCGCATGTGTGTGCACATATCTAATTGTACAGATGTACCTAGGACTAGGTATTTATTGTTTGGGTTTTTCTTAACTAAAGCACTGTCATGGTTTGACAAGCACACTGTATAAATAACTTCCCTTTTTAAAGTTATCTAGAACAAGATTTACAGTACAAAATTATAGGCACTTAAATTATCAAATAGATTCAATGGTTCCAATACTGCGTGTTCAATCTTCAGACAATTCATGCTTTGAAGCTTCAACTTGAGTAATGGTACTATTTTCTAACTTGCAAGTAAAAGTGGCAAAGGAGTTATAAATCTGGGTTCTGGCTTCTACACACCTTGTGCAGGTCAGTGGTGAAAATGGGGGAACTTCAGTTTCTTGTGCAGGTCGAACAGTTGGCACAATAAAACCAAGTTTTACAATTGTGCTAACTTACTGTATCTTCATGATTTAATTTCAGTGTCATTCCTCCCAAACTTAACTAGAACTTACAATACCCACTGATGTAACTTGTCTCAAATCTTCACTTCCATTAAGTTACCCACAGATGTGGCCTCCTGCGTCTACATCAGAGCAACCCAGCTCCAAATCTTCTGCACACTGTGGATCTGATCTTCAACAGTTCATGTACTCACTTCTCCTGGTCTTGACCCTTTACTGCATTCTCTGATCTTCAAAGCACTGAGAGCTTCCTGCCTTTTTTGTGTCTGTAGACCAGACTTGTTCTCAAGCCTTTTGAAATGGATCTTCTGCCTAGTTTTGTCAAATGATGAAAGAGTACATGCCTACACCTGACAAATTCCTTCCTTTGTGGGAAGAAATTCATAGCCTGACAGACACCTATCAGAGAGTCCCAATACAGCAGGAAGGCAAAACACATCACCATCAGTCTTTTCTGCTAAGATGTAAAGAAAGTATTCTATGGCAAAAATGCTGGTTGCATGTGGCACTGTGAAAAAATATGACAAATATCAGGGATCCAATTATGAAGCTCTCTCTAGACTGCAAGTGAGATGACCAAAGCAGCCTACATCTCTAGAAAGAATTGTTTCAAGCTCCTTACAGATTTAGGTAGGCATTTCTTAATTAATTAATGGTTCACATTTTCACAGTTCTCCTTTTGACCAAATAAAAAACAGAAAAAAATTAAAACCGAGATTTCTGAAGATAACTTAATGGCAAAAGATTCAGTAGCAAATCTCTGATTGTGGAGCCATAAAATGGATGGAGCCCTGACCATAAAACTTTGTTCATTTAAATGGTTTCTTATATATTCCAAATGACAGCAAAATAATCCTGGCACACACATAAAGGCATAAAGAACTGTTAAACTGAGTAGTATCACAAACAGATTAATAACCTACAGGCTGTTTCACCAAAACTTGGTATGGATTGACTAGGTTTTATCAGGTAGAAGGCAAAAAAAAAAAAAAAAAGCTTATATTCTCCATCTCTGTTGAATCCATATAGCTTGTTAGGCTTTCACAGAAAGCACTGTAATCTGAACATTCAATTCAGTACCCAGAGTTTTACAGGAGACTCACTAAGTATGATTGAAGTCTCAATGCAGCTCAAACCAAAACAAAACGTGTATTTTCTCAAGGCTGTCCATATGTGTAGCACGTAGTGTATAGAGGCTCTCAGTATCACGGTCTATGAAGTACTGAAAGATTTCATTAGCAGCCTGTAGAAGTGTGCTGAGAAAATATACTGAATCTCAGTTATTTCCTCTTCTTTATTTTTATCTTCCTCACTCATGTTTGAGTGAAAAGATCTAGGGAGTCCAGCTTTGCTCTCCAAAGTCAATTTCCTATGTCAAATCTTTACATCTTGTGATTCCACCATCTTGGCAAGTGTCTTCTTGATCCTCAAGGCAGTGAGCCTCGAGGCAGGATTATGAGCCCAGCACTCAGACATCAACTTCAATATTGCTCTTAAACACTGCAGAAGGAAAAACAAATGTGTGCTTGAAACAATCTTTCAACAATCACTACACCCACAGTTATAATTCTGGTTCACTGTCAAGCTCAAATGATAGAACTTTCAAGTTCAAATGTGTGCAACTTCCAAATTTTCTGCAAAATTGTTAGTAGAAAACTATTATAAAGAGATCTGCTGAAGGAAAAAAACCCAATACATCCCAAACCTGACATCCACATGCTAATCCTTCTTATCCCACCCCATCACTGCCTAGTGTTACAGTAGCTGGAACTAATGGAAGTGTTGATTTAGTCTCTCAATAATACATTACCAGAACTTCTCTGTACAACTCAAGAACAGTGGTACAAATATGGCAGCAATAAACAGAAATATCTCCACATATATGGCTGCAAAACCATAGAGAATTCTTTCAAGGAAAATGAACATGTGACAACATTTCTTTCAGCAGTCAAAAAAAAAAAAAATAGAGAAAACTGGTAACTCATAGAAGTCAAGGACTTGGGGAAGAATGGATATGGCATATTTAATTTGCTATGCGAAATAGTTATGTCTTATTTACTGTGTTCAAGCTGTGGCCCTTTAGAAACACATATAAGTGAGAGTATTTTAGTTATATCACAGATTGTCCTGTGATGTAACAGTAAAAGAGGAAAAAAATGGAGGAAATCCACAAAGGAAATGCTTTATCTTTCATGAAATATCTTATGCCACAAACCAATAAGCTATATCTATTAAGACTAATAAAATTAATTTTAAAATTATTTCAGTTTTAGCTCCAATTAAATTCTGAATATATTCCACTATCTAAAATACACGAATACACAATCTCAAGTAGAGCAGTATTCATGTACTTGCATGCTGCTTAAGGGTATCTTCTCCTCAGATCACTGAAAAGATACATTAAAAAAATACCATATTTTGAATTTATCTGAAGCATGTCTTTCTCCTATTATTGCTATGAGGTTTTCAAAGTATCAGAATGTGTGAATGCAGTCCTACTTTACAACATTTTAGTATTTATTAAACTAAAATACCACCCCATATTAATGAACAATCTGAAGCAGCTTTGCCTCTGAGCACACTCACTTCATCGCTGTTCCATCTGTTCGACACCACAGGGCGCAGGCGTTTGACACACACCACTTCTCTCATGTCCTCATAGGATGGATCATTTGGCACCATGTCATAATATGGCAACTGGTACTCTTCAACAATACCTGGAGATAATTAGGAAAGATTAGGAACAATTAAAATAAATAAATCTACATATCTACTCTTGGATTTCCATAGCCAGGAACAAAAATTAACTTTCTGACAAGTTAAACTCACCACACTGTGAGTTTTACTGCGGTAAAAATCTGCAAATTTCACTACAACAATAATTTACCATAAAAGCTCCAATATTATGATTATTAACTTTAGTAGCTACTATTTCCTTGTAGTGCCTTTGATTTTGATACCAAATGCTAGCTTTGGCTTTTTCTAATCTACTACATGCTACAAGGAAGCACAGAGAAATATAAGATGGAAGAAGAATACGGGTGAAGATGCATAAGGATACAAAAGAAGAGTAAAAGAAAAGCTAGGATGAGTCATAAAACTATTTGTCAGACTATTACTACAGCTTTTAAAGAATACAAGCCTAATGACACAGCAAGCTAATTATATTATTTCCTGGTGAAGCATTGCTAGAGTGAGGGAAGGGCCTGCTAGATTTTATACAGAATATTTGAAAGTTTACCTCCTGTGACACAGCGCCGAGCCATTTCCCAGATGATCAGCCCAAAACTGTAGATGTCAGCCATGATGTATGGCTGGAAATGGTTTTTATTCAGGCTTTCATCCAGGACTTCTGGAGCCATGTAACGTTTCGTTCCCACTCTGGTGTTCAAGGGAACGTCAACTTCGTTTGTGTCACTATATGAAAACATTAGCAAGTTACTGAATTGTGGACTGTTACAAGGTATGAAATCCTGTATGGCACAACCACTAAAAACACAAGTCTCTCTCTCCATAAAACTTAAATTAATAAAAGTATTTAATAATACAATTAAAATATCACATCTTCAATTACGATTCAACTGCTGATATGCTGTTTAAATTTTCTATGAAAGGCTAGTTTTAAATTAAAAGAAAAACCCAGTGTCCATTTCCTCTGAAATGATCATCATCATGATATCTGCCAGCATTCAAGAACTACATTTTACTACATCTGCCATTTTAAACTGAGCATCTGGTGCATTAAATAAAAAAATGACATGAAAGTTTTCCAAAGACAGAGGATTTGTTACCTGTTGAACTTGACTGCAAGACCCAAGTCCGCAATGCAGCAGGTTCCGTTTTTCTTTATCAAGATGTTTTTACTCTTCAGGTCCCTGTGTGCAATTGCAGGCTTGCCTTGTGTCCCATAGATTTCTGTGTGCAGGTGGCACAGGCCACATGCAGCAGAATAGGCCAGTTTGAGCAGAGCCCTGTTGTCCAGAGTAGTGCACTTCAGAAAATCATACAATGATCCGTTTTCATGGTAATCCGTAATCAAGTAAAGCTGTGTCCAGGAGCCAGTGCCTTTAATATCTGCTGCTATGAAACCTATGAAATGTATAAACCAAGTTACTATTTATTTGTACATAAAATTTTTGTGTAGTAGATTTAGTGATAATTCCTAAAGCTCTATTTTCTTGCACTGTAGCAGAAAATACATGCTGCCCTCATGAAGACTAACCATGTAGAACCTCTGACTCTGTGAGGTTACCAGTCCAGCTTTCCAGCAAAGAGACTGCAGACATGCTTCTAACCAAAAGCAACACAACCCTTTCAGTAACATTTAATTAGTGCACATTAAGCAAATAACCCAGCTGGTGATTCCAGAGAAGCTGCTTTAGACCCCTCACACCACCCAGTAAGAGCTCCTTCCTCCTCCACCCTCCAGCAGCCAAGGTTCTGCTGCCTTACCGAGGATGTTTTCATGTCGCATGAGAACAGTTTGGTAAATCTCTGTTTCTCTGAACCAGCTGGCTTCTTCTGTGGTGAAAAACACTTTGACTGCCACTTTTTCACCCCTCCATTTGCCCATCCACACTTCACCATATCGCCCTTTTCCAACTTGCCTCACCATCTGAATTTGTTTGGCAATAGTACGCTGAACCTAAGGAAGAAAAAAAAGAAAAAAAAAAAAAAAAACAGAGGAGGAAACCACACCAGTTAACCAAAAGTACCAGGCCAGGCTGCTTGTCAATCTTGGATTACTTTAAAGTTTTATACCATTGTAAAATTTTTTCATGAAATTTTTTTACATTCCAATTTTGGACTCATTATTGCTGCCTCCAAGGTATTAAAAAAAACCCAAAAAGATTTAAGTCAACTCAACTTCTAACTGAAGGGTATGTTCTCTTGCATTTTATTTCTATTTTTTCTATTTATTTATTTCTATTATTTCTATTACAGTCATCTGTCTCGCTGGCTAATTTTTATGCAAGTATTATATAGGATGGTGAATGAACAAAACTATGAATAATTATCACAAAACAGTTAAAATTGGAAAGGACCCTAAAGATCATCTACTTCCAACCCCTCTGTCATGGGTGGGGACACCTTCCACTAGAACAGGTTGCTCCAAGCCCCACCCAGACTGGACTTGAACTCTCCCAGGGATGGAGCATCCACAGCTTCTGTGGCAACTTGTGCCAGTGCCTCAACATCCTCAGTGAAGAATTTCTTCCTAATAGCCCATCTAAACCTACTCTCAGTTTAAAGCCATTTCCCCTTGTCCTATGTCTACACGCCCTTGTAAGAAGTCCCTCTCTGGGCTTTTCTATTTTAATGGTCAGCGGATACTAAGAATGTAGAATCTCTGAGTTCACTCAATTTGATACTTACATTAGCCATTATTTGTATTTTTATCTTAATGGCTGTTTTCTTTGGATTCTGCTGATGCCAACAGATTTTTTTAACATATCTGATTTTTGACATTTCATTAACTATGTGAAGATGGGCTTTAAACATGTTCAGTTTGTACTTCATCGTGATGGCATATAAAATTATTAGCATTTTTTATGAACAGACTGCTTTGTTCTTGGCATTAGATCCAAACCAAGCTTTGTTTGTGATGGAGAGAAATTCAATGAAGAAAAATCTCAAGTTTATGACTTACCAACAGTGGTAGTCCTGATCCACTCCCAGAACTCTGTGACTGGTCAATAAGGTCTTTTAATGACTCCCCAGCTGGAATAAATGCTTCATCTTGTTCCAGGTCACGATTATAACAGTGCCTCTTTGCCATCGACTTACAGTAGTGCCTGCAAAAGTAACAGAAGTCAAGCTGAACTCCAAAACACTTAAAATATGTAACAAACTGTTCTAGGAAAGGAGCTATTTAAACAAACACACTTTCTCAAAAGAAAAAACAGAGAAGCAGATGTTACTGTATTTTTTCTTTTCCTGAAATGTAACTTATATAGCTTTTTAATGTTAAGAAGCTGTTGTAATGCATGTACAGGTTTGTCAGCTGATTATCAGTGAGGTAGAAACCCACCACTTTTAACACTCAGCTCTCAGCCAGAGTTATCAGCACAACATGGCTGATTTTGGATTAAATGAACAGACAGAACCTTGAACCACAGCAGCTGAGGCTGACACAAGCCTTGGAAACTGCTGGAACAGTGATCACCTCCAGCACAGGGCTGGGGCTAACAGAAGCACCTGAATGAACTGCCATAGCTCAGCTGGACATTTACTTAGTTTTGAAACTCAGCAGAAAATCTCAGAAGCAGATGAAATTTAACTATTGAAAGTGACTGAAGACCCAAAAGCATAAAAAGCATGAAGATATTCCTGTTTACCAGCTCCTATAGCACCGAAGTTATGTGTAGCATGCAAAACTGTAAATACTTTGTAGCCAGAGGAAAGGACCAAACTCACTTAAATTCTCTGCTATGAACATTTCATTCTGCTACCCACAGAAATGTGAAATTAAGTTCCAACTGTTTCCAATCTACATATGATTAACTGAGTACATTAGCGAAATAACTGTTCTGTTTACACTGATTTGCAAAATTAAAAATGTTGCCAATAAAGAAAGTGCTTTCTTACTTGTAACAAAAGCAGCTAAGTAAGATGACCATGACAATTATGCAGACTGCCATAGAAATCAACACTGCCATCCAACGAATGCTGCCATCAAAAAGTCCATCTATTTGACAAAAAAAAAAAAAAAAAAAAAGAAAGAAAAAACAGAAAGAAAAAAAAAGAGTTTCCAAAGTCTATTAATTAAACATATATTTTAAACAGCTTATTTAGGTATGGTTTCATATACTGTGTATCAAAGTGAATATTTATACCACAAAAGCAAAGATAAATTCATTTGGATGACAGAAAAAAAAGAAAAATACAGCTTGAGATTTTGGAGTTGTTGGTTTTGGTTGACTCTTGCTAGTTTGTTAGAAATAGAAATTAAGGATTTAGAGCAGTAAAATTCTGAGAAGATATAAAGCAACAGTTAGACCAGTACAACTTGTCTAGCAATGAGTAAGCGCATGAAAACAAACTATTTTCATTGGGAACAATATAAAGAAGAGCATAAATTTGCAATAAAGAGGTGTTAACAAGGTCTGAATAGTTTTTTCATGATGGCATTCATAATGATAAAAGCACAGCAGAGATTAAGAAAAACATTTTTAAAAGAGATCAGACTGTGGAAACAGAATAAAAACAGATCAGAAGATCACATGCAGTCAAGATATGAACACACTAAGAACAAGAGTAAAATGTCACGAGAGACTGACCAAGGAAAAGATTAACTTGAAAGTGGCAAAAAATGAAAACATAAAATGAAAAGTAGCACAGATCTTCATATAAAAATTACTGAGTAAGGAAAAAACTATATTTCTGCAAGAGTATAATTACATTTTCTCCTTATTTCTACTGTTGATCAGGAAGAACAGAACCTACACAGAATTTCTTAGCAGTGTGAACATACAGGAAGTGTTTACCTGTACTATCAAGAGGTGGCAATGTTGGTTGCAAATCCTGATTGCAGAAATCAGTGCGACAGCACTCAATCGTTCGGCGTAACTGCGCTTTAGGGGAGTCCTGTAGAAGGAGAATTCAATGAACATTCAGATTCTGAAGCTAAAACAGGGACAGGAGATGCTACAGCTACAACATAGCATGGACAAAAGTGTAAGCTACTTTATTTAAAAGGCACTTCAACCACACCATTTAATGTATGAGATCACTCTGCAGTGGCCCATAGACATCATCTAATCTTTGAGCCTACATTTGATCCTGCACTTTTTTATATTTCAGGAGATGTTTTTCACTTGTTGCACAGAAATAGATGGTTTCTACTTAAGTTACTATTTCATACATGGGAACCGTCTTGAGCTTAGTCAAAACTAGTTAATCATATGTTAACTAAATACTGCTCTTAAGACAAAAAACCCAAACCCTTTAGAATTTTTTCTCTTATACTCATCATAGCAGAAGTATTTGCTTTAGAAGCACCTTCAGATTGCCACATTAAAAAAGGGAGTGGCATAAAAATGAAATAAAGTATGGGACTGGTATAAATCTCATTTTTTCACCTTGCACTGGAAGTCTGAACCTTCATACTTCATGCAGCCAGAAGCAAGCGTGGGTTCTCCATGTTCATCCTCCTCAATGATTGCAAAGCAATGCCCATTAGTTCTGCAATAAACATATCAAGTGTGCTTTATCAGCATGTTTTTCATTCAATATTCAGAATTAGTTGACCATGAACACATTAAGAATTCCAGAAAAATTCTTCAATATAGTGATTACCATCCAGTTTGGGAATAAAAGACCTCCACGGTATTCTCAAACAGAACACTACAGGGATGCTTTCTCACAAAACAGATACTAAGGAAAACAAATTTAGAAATAATTTTGTTTGCCAAAAATCTATTTACACTTATTCCAAGAAATGCAGATGTGGAAAGCATAATGCCATAAGGTACCCTGCACATAGACACTGTGTGTTTTTAACTAATAGCCTTTTTATCAGCCTAATGGCCCGTCAGCTGCTAGGTCAGACAAAAATTAGTAAGGTCTATACAGACTGCATACACTAGAGGGCAATAAAAACCAATAAATACCAAGAGGCTTAAAAGACAAAATACTGGAACATTTTCTCAGTTCAAAATTGTTTCTAAGTTCTGCCTGTGTTTACATTTAAAAAGACAGCAGTGTTTATCTTCCTCTTTGGGCTCCACAGAAACTGCCAAGTGACACAGTAAGAGACTGAAACCTATGTTGAAGTGAAGACTCAAAGTACAGGAGCAAGTAATATGTTTTCAACTGTGTATATTAATTCTTAAGGAAGAAAACAGAAGGGCCTTGAACATGGAATTGCAAATGGAGAGGAAAAAAAGAAAAACAAGGACATTTCAGGACATGAAAAAAAAGCCACCTTAAGCAAGCACATAACCTGTGCACGAGTTTGTTATGGTTCTTATACCTAGCAAAGATAAAACCTCCCTCCTGTCTCTACATGTCCACAGGCTTTTCTTTATTTTCCCCTGCCTTTCCTTCATATTCTGTAATCATTGAACATGTAACAAGAAGAATTCTCAGTAAATGGCTATGCTGTTTACACTACCTTTTTGACTACTAGGTGAAGAAATAAGCAAACAGGTGGTCATGTCAGAAGGCTTAGATTTGGGTCACTTAATACTCACCCAGCTCTAAAATACCACAGGGTTACTTAAAACCTCTGTCCTTCAAAGCAGTTGCTAGGCTTAAAATGACCAGTTGTAAATTGTTTTAAGGTGTGGTGAAAACAGAGATGACCATGGGTTTTAGCACGCACAGAACATAATCAATTATGGTCAGATCACCTGAGAGAACCTTGGTCAGCCTCCAGAGGTAGTTTAGCTCTCTCAAAATCCAAAATAATATTCTTCAAAGAGCCTCTCTATCTTGAATGCAACACTTACATGCATGTGTTGTTAATAGCATCATCTGGACAATGTCCTGAGCAGTAGCATTTAAGAAAAGGTAGGGTGTCCTCTGGAGCAAGTGTTACTCCATTTGCTTGTTTCTTTTGGTCAGAATTTGTCTTCATTCCTGTACCATGAAGCATGCTGTCTGGCTTTTGACCTGGACACAAAAAGTACAGCAAAAAAAAGTTTGCATCTCCAGAGTTTCATAGACAAAACATGACAACAATTATTATATTTATAACTGAAGTATAGAAGGCAATCTCCTCTCCCAAGATTATAGTAAAAATCTGAGTTAATAATTTTATTCTAGAAAAACTCAGCTGACATATTTTGTACCTTAACAGCAGATCTTCCAACCATATATAATCAATAAAAACAGAAAGATATTTTCTCTTTTTGAGGTAGGGCAGGAAAGCAGTGGTTTAACTGGTTAGAATTCTCTGAAGAAAGCTTCTCCCATTCATGTGTTTAGAAAACCAAAATGCTGACGGCTTGATAACCACAACAAGAATAATTTTATGCATGACTGAACATACTTAATATGCAATTTTCTAATTTTCTGAAGTAATTTTTTATAGATTCACGGTCTCATGGAAGAGCAGTAATAACTCCAAAATCTCTTGGTTTTTTTGATCTCTGTATGCATTAGTACTTCAAAACACAGCTAAAGTAAATCTTGTTTGCAAATTAAATTTCAGTAAATGACACGAACATCCATCCAAACGAGCTTTCACAGAATAGAAACAGGGCTACATCATGTTCCAAGCAACCCTCAGTTTCTCAATAGTAGCAGATGTAAACATCATTTGTTCTTGATCATATTATTAAAGTGCTTTTGTGATTGTAGGCATTCAGAAGAAAACATCCATTTTCTTCTTAGTGAAGAACATCCAGAACAAAAATGATGAACATTATCTGCCTCATTTGGAATATGCCACGTGATTACTAATGAGCTGAGAACATCTTTACCCATCTCCTTCAGCTTTATCATACACAATTTTACCAACAAGAAATCTCTTTCTGTCGACCACCTTGGCTCTAAATCCTCAAGGTATGAACCAAACAGAGATAGAAGAGCTGTGAACAAACATCATTTGCACTGACACAGATTACAGCAAGGCTTTGTGTGAGGCTCAGTGTTGGCAAGATAGGCCAGCAGCTTGTCAGGACCAGCAGAAGCTTTTACAAATGTAGTTATTAGCAAAAAAAAAAAAAATGGAGGCCACAATAAAAATTTCAGTTTTCCAAGGAAAAGAAGCCTGATCAGGAAACTCAAGAGTGTCTTCGAACAGATTCTTGGGCCTCCTGTCAGACCTAGCAAACAGGAGCTGTGGAGTGATGAGAATATTAGTATCCTGTTGTACCTTGCTTGAAACATGTCCAGAAAAACTTGATTAAAACCTCTTGCAGATACAGCCCTCTGCATCACTCTACTGTAACATCCACTGTGTCATTCAGACAAGTGCCAATTAAATATTTGTGAAATTTGATCCTACTCTACTGAAAACAGCAGACTTGCAGATTTCTGCATCTGGTTAATACAGCACACCTAGTGCAGTGTCCAATGCAGAAAAGTAATAAAACTGTGCTTCTTCTGCATACAACTAAGAGAATATCCTGAGAAATACACCATTACCTAAACACTGAAATCACAGAGCAGTGCTTTATTTAATATGTGGTCTTCAAAGAGTATTTCAGTAATGCCCAAGTTAAATAGTCCTGATCTGTACAGACTGTTCACAAAAAACAAGATCCAGTGCTAGAATAACAGTAGGTTATAGGTATTTCTGATTTAATAAAGAGGAATCCTGCACAACTGAAACAGCTCCTCCATCCACCCCAGTCTCCTTCTACATATTTCTTCCCAGCATAAACTGAAAGGTAATTTTAATACTTTGCTAGAGACATTCTGTATTCACATATAAGAGATCCTCACCTGCTCAGAGAACAGGTAATTCTACGTAATATTTAAACCAAAAGCCACTGCATATGCACAAATATTTTCTCATTTTGTTGAATGACTTCAGTATCTTTCCCAATTGATGTTATAAATCCCTCTTGTCCTTGAGGGACATTCCACATGTTAAAAGTTTTTATGGTACTTCATGATCAGTGTCTTACAATCACTCATCCATTTTTCTACCGTGATCACTGAATGCAATGCTTTTTCAGTTTATTAGATGAGAAATCCAAGGAACCCTAAAAGCATGGCTTCTCCTAGCTCAGAACAGAAAGAACAACATTTTTGTGCATGTCTGGCATCTCTTAAAGCAGTATAATTCTCTGTAAACTAGCACTGAAACGTGACTACAGGTATGCCAACCTTTTATGCTAAAACTGATATGAAATACATTTTCCCTCTTAATTTATTAAAATGGATTACATTATGAGATTTATGAAAAGGACATACCGTATAAAATCCAAAACAGATAACTGTATTCTCAAAGAAACAGCATCTTTGTCTTTTGTTCAGTTTCTACAGGCAAAGATTTTTATTCAAAGCAAGAATAGACTACAATTTCATTATTTTTGTAATGTAAAACTCCGTAGCAGCCTGGTTTCATCTTACAGGTAATACCTGAACTGCACAAAGAATGGGGGGGGTTGGGGGGGGGGAAATCACTTCTCTCTTGCATTTTTACTTCCTAAGACTGTAAGCAGAACTCTTCCTAGAAAGGAGTTTGAGTACCCAGGGAAGAGAATAGGAAAATTTTGAGGAAGTTTGGGATTACTTAATGAAAGAGTTTTTAATTGCCTCCACCTAGGATACCTAACTGTATTCTTTACTGCAGTACTGCAATTCATCCTCAACACTTCAAGACACATTCATGTTCATTTTAAAGCTGCTAGGTATGGGGATGGGAGTCAAGCACAGAAAGACTTGGCTTCCACCCACCTTAGATGTTAAGAGGGCAAATGAAGGCCCTAAACTCACAGGATGCTTCATTGCTGTTTTTCCTGGTTAATAGACACTGAGTAAATGAATAAGAGAGAACTAAGCATAGGACAAAAGAACATCTTGCTCCAAGGTTTATGTGCCCACCCTCAGAGCTCCAGCTCTCAGACATTCACACTGCTGCATCTTCCTCCTGGGAACAGGACAGGGAAAGGGAGGATCATGTTTTAGGATCTTGTGACACTACACTACGTGATGTAATTAATCTCTTCTTTTCCACGACACTTGCAGTTGTCACTCTGCAGTACAGCACAGAAACATACATACACAAATCCCACATAACCTTCAAAGGTGTAAGTGCAGCGTATTGTGCACAGAAATGCAGCACCCAGAGACTTCAGGGACAGCAAAGCTTCCTTTCCACTATTTCCTAACCTCCACCTGCAAACTGCACAGAGCTGCTGGAGCAAAATAATAGCAACAAATGAGCTATCACACACTGGAGAGCTTGTTCAAGATCCTGGATCACTTCTAGCCTGTTTATCCAGCCTTGAGAATGACAGCACCATAGACCTCTAAACATACAAACTGTCCTGTAATGTGTATTTTACTGCATTACAAAGTTACAACATTCAACAAAATATCAGAGTAAAGGTGGAACATTCTCCTAACTTCACTGCAGTGTAAGACACTCATGAGAAAAAAGCTGATGGGACTTCAAGTTCTGATTTTGTCTTCTGCTCTGCCCCATCATACACTGCATTTATTGTAGATTTCTACAAGTGTGAACAACTGTTACAGACAGGACAACACTTAAATGGTTTTCTGTTTAAAATTAAACTCCATTTTAATAAAATAAATAAAAATTTCAAAAGACAATAATAAAACAAATTGTTAAAACAGAACAATGTCTGACAATTTATCATATCCACCCTTTGATCAAAAATATAAATTATTCAAAGCACTGCTTCTTCCAGTCACAGAAAATAACTTAAGACCATAAAATGCATTTCAAAGCACAGGATATTAAAAATCTCACTAGGTTAGAAATCTAAGTCAACTTGAAAGCACGCTTCAAATATTAATATTAACATGGATAAATCTTAAAAATGTACCGTGTGTGAGACTGCAGCATTACTAATCACTAAAACCCGAGTTAACCTGCTTGCAACTCAATGCCAGGATACAGATATCATTTCATTAAGTCTTCTGATCTAAGAAAAGATTTGTGTGACCCATAAAAAACCAGCTCTATGAAATGCAGACAGCAGTAAGTGTAAGAAGACAAATACAAAAGCCAAATTATGCCTACAATTTTTTACTTAATGGTATTCTCTCTTTCTCCACAAAGGAAGATCAATATGGCCTATAGCAGTCAAGTTGTTTGATAGGTTTCTGAGCTCATAATACAGGTGTTGCCCATAAAAACATTTATATTCCAGACTACATTATCCTTTGAAGGGATATGTCCTAGCAGAAATACAGTGCTAGAGGCATTTCTTTGTAGCTACTCTGATCCATGCTTGCAAACTCTAAGAAATTCAATATATAATTAAGAAGAATCATAGTCAGAAGAGCCCCTTCACCTGCCTCCCTGCTGGTGCTGATGCACACTGGGCTCTTTTCATCAAAGATGAAATTATACCACTGTTCTTTATGTTAGATATGCCTCCCCCATGAAAAAGGCATACCTTGGCATTTTTACGTGGTAGTTCTAAATTACTTTTTCTTGCTTTAGGATGCAGATACTGCAAAATCCCCCAATCCGGTAAGCACATTTTACCTTTCTGCCTATCACAAACTTTGACAATGATTTAACATGTTCTGTTATGTGAATTAAACCTAAGTACAACTGACAGAGCTTGAATACAATACTAGCACTTGCTCTTAAAAGACGAAATAGTTTTTTTTCAAATCAGAAAAATTGATTGTATGAGTGCAAAGTATCTTAAATGCTTCTCCAAACTCTGTGTTTGGCAATGTAACCATAATGCTCCCTATAGTGCTTTTTTATGTATCAAGGCTGTGATCTCCAAAGACCAGGCATGTTAGAGGTAGCTCCATCTAGCAGAACTGGTTCCCAAAAATCACAGCATGTTCCCAGACTACTGGTTTAAAACCTCTCTCCTGTCCTTCCAGCTTTCCCAGGAGCTACATCAGTGTGCAACACAGACAGGCAGACCCTGCCTTCTCTGCTTCCCAACCTGCAGTCCTCAGCCTCTGCTCCCACTTCCCTTCCCCAAGTCACTTCTGAAGACTGCTCTGTTCTTATGCACTCAATATAAAGCTAGAGACTCGAAAATTTTGTGCATTAAAAAAAAACGTACAATGCATTGTAATTTCAAGGGCTTTTAAAGAATAAAGTTATGTTAAATGCAAAGTTCTAATAAATAAGTAAATAAACTTTTAATAATTCCTTGGATAAATTTTAATCAGACAAATTTAGAAGAACATGGTTGCTGCCCATGTTTTAAAGACAGATGCAGCCATTAACTGGGGAAATCACCAATAAGCAGAACTAGTGCTTTCAAATAATGAACCAGCTACTGACAACTGTAACTTCCTTCTATAGCTTTTAAAATTTTGTTTCAGACTAGTTTATACATTCAAATTCAGTTAACTCCTTCACCTGAAAATGAGAAAGTGCATAAAGTTTTTAAAACGTATCTTAATATATACCTTATCTATGTCAAGTATTTGAATAAAAGTAATTAGAGCAGTGAACTAAAATAGTTTTTTTTTTCCGTTCACTAACAGTAGCAAGTTTAAGTCCATTTTAATATTTAATATTAACACTATTTTACAATTTGACTTTTAATATATGTTCATACATATCAAGTAATATTAATACATTTTTAGTCAACTAATTTACGAGGATTAAAAAACTGGTCTTCTGTGTCTCTGAAGAATACATAAAGGTGTGATGAACCACATGAGAAGTAAACTGCCAGCAATGAAGAACCAAATTTATGAGAAAATGCTTAAGTAGCTGCTAAGCACTTTATTACTGCTACATATATTGATCAATGCACTGAACAAGAAAGAAAGTACTCTGCTTGGGAGTAAAACTGGTCCTCTGCATGAAAACCCTGCACTGCTGGGAAGACAAAACCTGTTTAGTGCACTCACAAGTGCAGCTGAAGCCCAAGACCTCTTGACTTAGATCAGAAAAAGGAAGTGGATGAAGATGCGAAGCAAATCATAGACTTAAAGCTACTGCAAAGGCCTTCCACAGCAAGAAAGGAAACACAAATGTTTTAATTGAAGAGGTTGCTATTAAGTCTGATCATCTGCAACTCAGCCTTATTTCTGACTATTTCTCAAAGTAAGTGAGGAAGTCCCAAAGCTATAAAGATAGAACCCAAAGCGTAACCACTGGGTCCCCCTGCTGCATAGTACCAACCTGAGAAACTCCAGCTATTCACCAATAATGTCATAGAATTGCCTCTGGTTTCTGTTGTTACTGTAAGAATATTTTCACAGTAATCAACACATGCAGCCACTTGCTTTTTCAAGTTACCTGTTAAGGAATCTGGTACGTATATAAACATGCAGCTATACAGACACATTTGCTTTTATCATTCTCTCAGGTCTTGGTAAGCTCTGAAATTCCTAACATTCTGAAGAACCCTCCAAAAAAAACCCCCAAGAGAGCAAACCATTATCCTGGATGCCAGACACTGAAAGTACACACACGGGTTTCTACATACTCTGCTTTTTCTTCCTCTTTCTGTAAATCACACAAATTCTCTTCAATTCTTCCTAATGACTCTTTTTCATCACTGCTGATTGCTTTATGATGCGTTTTCTAATATCCTGCACATATTTTCCTTGTTGAAACTACTTTTTCAATGGTTTAAACTCTTCACTCTAGATTGTTTCTTTCCTATAAAAATTTAAAATGCTTTATGACTATGATCTTGATTCTTTCCTCCCCCATGAATCTAGGGGAAAGCAGAGAGACTTGACTGTTTTTTACCTCACCATACCAGGGAACCAAACATATTTTGTATGTTTGAAGAAAAGCCCTTAGGCAACTTGCAGAGAATTAACAACATTGCAATAAGCTCAACATTTCCATGGCTTTCAGACCTCTCTCAGTATTGATCTGAAAGTCAGGAAAATTTCTAAGATAAGGACATTTCTTCTTTTGAAGCTGAAAAATAATTTTCAGTCTTTAAACTTAATTTATCTATATTACTTACTGGAAGTTATTTACTGAACTGTTATTAATCATCACGATCATGGAAGAAGTTAATGTAATTTAATTTTAAGCCCCTAGAAGACTTGCATATTTGTATTATTATTTCTATTTGAATCTAGAGAAGAAAAAGAAATCCTTCAGTTGCTATTGTCTATTACTAAAATGCTAAATATTGACTAATGCAAAGGGGTGACCATGACTTCAGCAAAAAAAACCAAAGCATATTACTCCCAGCTTCCTCAAGGGAACAAGGGAAGAAGCTGGTCTCTTCAGCCAGAAGCAGCAAAACTGCTTGAATACAAATACTACAAGCAACACAGCAAAACATTATGTCTGAGTATTTTAGAGCAGAAGAGATCTCTGGAAGTCACCTGGTACCACCACCTGGTCAAAGCAGGGCCAACTTCCACATCAGAACAGGTTGTTCAGTCATTGCAGTAAAGTTCTGACTACCTCTAAGGATGAATATTGCACTACCTGCCCAGGCAGCCTGTTCTAATACTTAACCACATGCAATCAAAATTTCTTTCATAATTTCTCAATGAAATACTCTGTAGCTTATTCCCATCACCTAAACTAAGCACCTTACAGCTACTGGCAAATATTTGTAAATCTACTACAGACTTCAAGTATACCCCAAACTAGGCTATTTCTGTCCAAACAGATGTATCAAGCTCAAGCTTTGAAGAGATAGCTCTGCTATATCCTTTAATCTCATATTGCAGATTCACACCAGAAACAGAAAAAGATCAGCATTCGGGTACTTATCAGGCTTCCTCCTCTCCCCATTTTAATGGGTTCATTGAATTGTTATTCTTGAAAGTAAATATCTCACATAGTATCTCAAAATCAAGCACTAAGCAGTAATTCATCTAAGTATGGGATAAGGATATAAACCCTTTTATATTCAAGTATTTAAATGGCAGTAACAAATTTGTTTTCTCTATTTTTTGAAAAATCTGGAAAGCTCTGTATACTTAAACACATGAGGCGTGCACAGCTGGGAAAACAAACTCTTACACAGAGACCCAACCAGGGATGTATATTTTCAATTCAAACCAATTTGACAGAGGAGTTCAAGTTCTAATGATAACTGGATTTCCAGAAGTTTTTTGATAATTGGTGTATGGAAAGACAAGAGATGTACAAATGAGTATCTTTTTCACTAAGATAAGATGAGTATCTTATCTTTTCACTAACTGAAAATGAGGGTATCTGTGAATAGTCCATAGCCTCACCTTGGCCCATCAAGTAGGCAAAACAAGTTAATTTAGATTAGTTATGACATACTACCCCTAGCCTGCTAGGAGCATCAAAAGGCATGGGGAACTGTACACTGCAAGTTCTTCAGTAGGTCAAATTAAAGGGATCAAATGTTCACACACAGAGGGAACTGAAATTCAGAATGTCAAGCCTTCACTTTTGATGCTCATCCAACTTGCTCTGTAACATACTAGGCATTTTTGGTATTGCTTCTATTTAAGTTTTTGCTAAAATAGACCTAATCTATACTACAATGAATGACCACTAGAATGCCCTCCTTTTTAGGGAAGCATCCATATGGCACATCAGGCCAGTAAAGTCACCTGCCTGCAAAAGAAACCCCAAACGAAAAAAATCCTACTTCAACCACTGGAAAATGCAAAACTCTGTTACAAATCAGAAAGATAAGCTTATTTCAACTAGTTTATATTTACCTTGAACATGGAGAATGATAAGCAGATAGGCTCCAAGCAATTGCTCATGAACTCTCAATCGAGTCATTGTTCACTTTTAATCCTTCCTGTGCAGGGCAACCAGCCCTTCTGCTTGACAAATGCTAAGCTTGGTCTGTTCAGTGAAGCCTAATGCAGGATTCAGTGCTTGACTGCAAGGATGCTTCTGTGGCTTTTCCACCTTTGTTTCCTGGAAAATACAATGAAACAAAATGTTTAAAAAAATTAATGTATTTGTGAAACAAGAAAAAACACTCAAGATGGTCATCATGCTGAGCATTAACCAACAAACCCAACAAAAAAAACCCCAGGTGTTTATTAACATTAGTATCTGAAAACATTAGCTATGTTTACTATCTAGCTGAATAGCAGGGTTCTTCTGAAATATAAACTGTTGGTAATAACGCACAGGGATGTTTTCATATTCCTATTAAAAATATTAGGTATGTCAACTAACTGGTCACAGATGTATAATTTTAGATTTGCATATAGCTGTTAGAGGTAGTATTCAACAGATTTAGCATGTAAATCTGTTTGAAAACTGTTTACTTTACAGAAATGAAAACTTCTTTAAATTATCTTCCATAAAAATTAAATGCAAGTGGTGACTTCCCATAATACTGTGGGGGAAACAGTAACACCATGTTAGGCTACCTGTTGAAAACTGCTGGTAGAAAAGCTTTACTGCAAAAAAAACCCCAGCCTCTCTGCTGGATGAAAACCAAATTTACATTAAATTCAACAGTTAGTTTGGTTACCTAATATACTTATCTTGTTGCTTTTTTCTCCTAGAAGAGTACTACAGAAAAAAGACACTAACTGCAATTCAAAATCATTACATCCTGGATTCTTAAGCTGTGTGCAAAATAATTCCTCCTGAAAAATTACTCTATGTACATGCCATTTGCTCCACAAATAAAACATAATTCTACTCTTGTGCAGTGGGTGAACATACAGCTAAGACAGCCAAACTGAGTAAGAAGTCACTTTTTTTGCAGTAGTTGTGGTCACGTTCTGCTTAAAGAACTTTTCAATGGTGATGCATGAGGGGAGCATAATTGGGCCTCAAAGGACTAAAAAGCAGCTTGAACACCTCAACAGTTCCTTGTAACAAAAGTGAAGCTGCACAAAGATGAACAGAGCCCTGATTTTGCCTCTCCTCGGCCTCGTTTCGGTGGGGTTGACCCCCCTGACCCCTGTCAGCCTGGCGCTGCTCATGAATGGCAGAACGGGCGTTCGCTCGGGGATGGGCAGCAATTACTGTTGGTGGCCGCTTCCAGCATCAATAACTCAATCTGTGTGTCGGCGAGACCCAAGGACTTTTCATTTTAATGAGTCTTCGGAGGCATTTAACATGGAGGCAAATTAGCGGCTGAGCCGGGAGGTGTCCGTCACTTCCAATTTCAGCGGGTGCGGCGCGCCGCCCCGACCCCTGGCCTACTTTTCACACGTCTCTGACTTCTCCCTAATGCAGCCACAAAGAGGGAGCCAGGCACCCCGAGCCCGTGGCAGCCGTGGCCCTGGCCAGGATTATGGCCAGGTTGTGGTGGGATGGACTCGGAATCGCGCACTGCGCAAACATCCGGAGCACCAGGAACTTCAAAGTAAACCTCTTGGCCAGGCAGAGGGAAAAGTGATGTGACAGCAAAAATATTCACTCTTTAGTGTTCCCTATGCCGCAACACCAATTCTGACAGTCAATAAGGAATGTCCTCCTAGTCACAAAACATCAGGCCAGCAACATAAATGCATAAGTATTAATGCTTTATTCTATGTTTTGATGGCAATGAACCTGTAATCCTCAATAAAACATGTGGAATTTGAAAACTACGAACAGCTTAATGCAGCAATAACAACAAAGGCTTTATTTATGGTATTCTATCAAGCAAAATCAAATTAATCTTAGTAATAGTCTGTTTAGAGTATTTTTAAAAAGAATTTCTGTCTTGTCCAGTTTCAGAAGGAATATGTATTTGCACTGTTGTATATTGCAAGAGTAGGTGTGTTTAAAACTTGGTGATCTTGCCCCTCAGTTCACCAGAGGGGCACACTGGCACAGGAACATCTGTTTGCCACTGTACCACACAGCATGTTACAAACCCCGTTCCCCCCCACCCCCCCAAAAAAAACTAATAAAAAATTGAAGAAATTAACCATTTTAATGCAACTCACTCCAATTTCATAGTGATTTTTGTCCAGTGACACACTCTAAGGTAGTTTCCAAAAATGCTGTCCAAGCCTATTAAAAAATAATGTTCTCCACCAGTATTTTGTACCTCAATCTTCCTTCCAGTAATACTTCCCTTTTCACATATACACATATATAAAATATAATATTGTATATAAAACCATGCAATAAAAATCAAAGAGAACAAATTCTAATTTCCCATTTTAAAACAAAAAATACCCTTCTGGACTCCTGTTAAAGAGGAAGACTAGCTACCCTGGCAAAGGCACAAAATTCAAAGAGCAACAGCTGGAATTTCTCCAAAACCTGCCTGATATAACAGTTTAGAATGACACAATTAAATAACCCCTTCAAATATGTTAAAGCACCAATTAGCGCTTGGAATGCTACTCTGCTAACAGAATGATGCTGAAAAGATTCAAATCCATGAGCCAATCAGTTGATTTTAAAGTTCTCAATCTCTTTTCTACTGTAGCCACAAAGAAGTGTTCAACTATAATCCTCTAAAAAGTAACTTATTCATCAATGGTAACACCTGATTTTTCTGCACTGTATTTTATTATCCTTCTTAGTAACAGTTTATCAAAGAAAATGCTTTTATTATTAAAACTGTGTGGTTTTTTTCTGAACTGGAACTCAGCAGTGAATTCACAGCACTGTCATAGCAGTTCAGCCCTATGTTCTACATTACTCCAAATATATGAAGCTGAAGTGTGCAAGATCTCTCTTGTGGCTCAAACCAACTCTGAAAGCATGGAGTTCAGTGGAAACTGTTCTTTAGATGTGGCTATGTAATATTTTTAACAGCATGATCCCCAAACCAAGCGAGCTGTGCTGTTCCAAATTTCAATAAAGAATGATAGTGGTGAATGTAACAACAAAGATAGTATTGTATGAGGGGAACACATGAAAAAATGTCAATCTTAGACTTCACAAGAATTAGAACATACAATCAAATTTCAACAGACAGGATATTTCAAACCATTTGCAGCAGTACATGTAACACCAAGTTAATGCAGCAGTACATGTAACACAACAAAACTAAAACTTACTAAATGGTTCTCTGATGTGTAACTGGGGCAAGAAGCAACTTAGGTAACCGTAAGCATATTACCTCAATCACAGGGACTGTTTTAAACAGGACTTTGAGATGAACAGAATGCCAGAGATAAACTGAACTGTCAGTCTACGTTAGTGTGCAACAACAACTTTCCTGGAAGATTATAAAAAAACCTGATATGGTGCCACAAAGAAAATTACTCATTTGGCTGAAGAAAAGAGGGATTATAAGAACAGTAAAGAATTCACTACAGGGCAGACAAGTAGTTTCAAGAACAGAGATTAGTAGCCTAGTTCAAATGGCATTTGAGGACCTTGATTCTTGATTCAGCTTGACTGAAGAATACTCATCCTTTTCATTAATGAAGTAGGTACAGAAAGCAAAAACTTTAAAAAAATGCTGACAAACAAATTGTCAGTCCAACTGAGTGCTGTCTTTATGCAGGAAGATTTGGATTATGTGAAGAACTGAAGTAACAAATAGAATTAAGTACAACGGCATAAAATTGGGAAAGTCATGCATATTGGTAACTCCAGGGAATTTCTGCCTCACACAGACTAGAAGCTCACACAGAAGAGATAGTGATGTCCAACACCAATTGGTTACAGAACATCAGACACATCCATGTGATGTGCCTAGGAGAAAGACACAAACACAACTCTAGTATTTCCTAGGAAAATTTCCCAGGGAAAACAGCAAGGCACGAATAGCACAAAGATAAAATGATTGGTAAACTCAACATCCATCTAGAAGGATACTATCTCAAGGAAAGAAAGACATTTGGAGATAAAAAGAAAAGAAAATAATACAATTAAGACAGTTAAAATTGATGGGGAAATAACTACACTTTGACAACATAACAGGAATAAACACAATGAATGACAGACAGCTATTCAATCTTAAGAAAATTACTGGTTCACCAACAAGGTATGGATTAGCCATTACAATTCATCTGGATAAGAAATTAGAAGGCAATTTCTAACCACTGGTTAAAAAGTTGTAGGGCAGATTTTCAGACTAAATAGAGTCCAAAAACTTAATTAGTCTTTAGTTTTCAAAGGCCACCATTTGATGTAGCTACAGGTGTCAGGACAGGAATAGACTGATCTGGGACTGCATTTCATTATTCTTAATACAAAAAGCTATAGTTAGCTTCAGTTTATCTGAAGTCAAACAGTCAAATTTAACCAAGTTCGTAACAAGAAGAAAGTTTCAGATTGTGTACTGTGCAATTCTGTCAAATACTTGTACAAACCTACTTTTTAAATGTGTTTTTATTATTCTATTGAAAGGCATGCTTACACAAATTGTTGAAACGTGTCACAATGAAACACTCAAACTACCTATGCTTGAGTGCTGTTAAATATGTTAAATTAAACAAGCAAGGTAAATCTACCCTCAAAATCTGTCAAAAAATCCTACAGCTGATGGAGAAGACTGCTGGCTATTGCAAGCCAAATGGCTACATGGCCATCAACAAGAACAATTTCACATAATGCCCTATTTAGGCACTCATCTGTTCAAGCTCACAGAAATAATTCTCCTGAACTGTGGATTGTGTAAGAATTATTTAAAACTATTCCTGACTGCATACATTTAAAAGCCAAGAGACTGTAAATTATACAAGTCCTTTCTCCTTCTAGAAACTACAGTGAAATCTGAAATGCTAAATGAAGCACAACTGAGTGTATTATATACTTCTCAAAAGACTGAAAAAAGAAATCTTAGTTCTCTCTGTAGTACATAGAGAACCAGGTGTTTAGAACACATGCTCTGCAACACATTTGTTCATTCAAAAAACACAAGACCCTAACAACAGGATTTTGAAGCAGGGGAGCTCACAGTCTCAGTAAAGGACTTCTTATTTCTGACCAGAAAAGCCACCAAAACCCACCTTGGACAGTCAAACAAAAGAAGATTTCCCACTGCTGGCAAATATCAA